TCAAGCTCAACAGGGTCTTCTTTCCCCGCTAATTTTTCAAAGCCCGTTCCCTTGGCTGTGGTTTCGCCTAATATTACCCAATACAAAATAACTAATTAGAGGCAAACACATTTTCAATTATTGAGAACATATACGCTTATTCTCTAAAAAGCCCAAATTTTATACTCATGTTCAATGGACGCAATTTTTAGACATGCAACAGCTGTTAATAAACAAACACATTTTCTAAAGGTATAACATACTCAGCCGCATCAGCCCAATCCAATCTGTTTTCAGAATTGTATGTATCTCTACGTTAAGCAAAAGAACTGAGGGCTATTCAAGTGCGGAAATTCAAGCAATATGCCGTGAAGCAGCTCTCAAGGCGCTACAAGAAAACCTTGACGCGCACCATGTGTGCTGGCCACAGTTCGAATACGCATTACAGACAGTGCAGCCGCGTACAAGTCCTGAGCTGTTGCGTTTATACGAATAATACATGAAGAAGTTTTAATAAATGTTGTGAGGCAGCAAATTCATTTCGTTTTGAATTCGAGATTGGGGCAGTTGCAGCCTTTGTGTATAATCCGATATCGGATTCGTTTCTTTTGAGAAGTCGTACATAAAAATATTGGTTAAATGCCTATAATTTACTTCTTCTTCTTCTTGAGTTGGCTGTGAATATTCAGATGGTTTGCTAAAAGTATTATTTGGATTTTAGATTTGCTAAACGGACAGCTGGTTCTTCTTACCTCTTCGTATGCTTCCTTAAATGTCTGGTTAAAGCAGAAGACTGATTAAATTTCCAGGCACATTGATAATATACGTTCAGGCGAAAATCTGCCATCTTTGTTTCCATTGCCACCATTAAAAAGAAGAACAATTTCTTTTATATATATATATATATATATTTTAAATATATAATAAAGCTATTATATAAATAAAGCTATTTTTTTTATTTATATTTATATATAAATTATATAAATTAATATACAATATACAGGAAAGAGTTCGATTTTCCCAATGAGAAATCGGTTGAGAAAGTGTTTGTTGCTATAACCTCCAACTAGACGATGGGTTATATAAAGTAGTATTTATTTCTTTGAAATAGTACGAGTACGTCTTAAGCCCGATAGCCGCCAGTTCTTTTGTGGGTTTACCATTAACACTGTATCGGGATCTTTTTCCATTTCTTGAAGGGGAAATTTCCTATTGATGCATGGTGTACTTGTTTCAACAGCATTTTTAACAAACTCCCCTAATTCTGGTGTCGTAGTCTCGGTTTGTAGTTAATTTCTATTGGGTATCCCCCAGAGTTCATTGGGTGGTCTAAAATTAAATTTTGGATTTAATGACAACAAGCGCTTTTTACCAACCAGCATTGGAACATTTAAAGTCGAATGCCCGGTTTGTTTCGATTCATCATCGATCTGTTGACATGCAGCTGCTGATAATTTGCTGCTACAACTGGGATAATCGTACATTCTTTCTACTTTCCTGCTTGTTAAAGATATATTGTAAGCTTTTTGTCACACAGCATGTTTTGCTTTTTAGAAATAACTTTTTTTTTTATACAAAGTAAATTATTCTCAATATCATCACCACTTTCGTGAAATTCATTTAGCAAGGCTTCCAAAGTCCCTTTTTTAGTTATAAGCATGTTCTTGCCATTAGCTGTTTGGAAACCTGTGGTTTTGTCGACTTATGCACTGTTCTCTGCCTTTTTTCTAAATTTAAATTCCATGCGATCTTTCATATCTTCCACTCCAGTTTCATTGTCTTTTTCTTTTTCCAATATGGGTTTTTTTCTACCATTCGCTGTTTGAAAACATGCAGAAGTTCGCACAAGCGAACTTCCCGGATTAATGACCTTGCCAACATTATCTTGGTGTATTTTAAAGGTCGCTTGAAAGCCCGTTTTGTTGGCTATTTGCGCACTGCTGTTTGCAGTTTTTCCAAACTTGGACTTTATACTTTTAATCGACATCCGAGCTTTTATGTCTTTTAGTTCAGTTTCATAATTCGTTTCCTGCAAATTGTCTTGAAATTGTCTTAGAATATTTTGTACGAATATTTCTTCCGATAGGAAATTCTGAAAAATTGAGAAAACAATACAATCCAAGTGAAATAATTGAGGGAAAGTGCATATATTTCGTTTATTTAAAACAAATAAGAAAAGTTGAAGTTTGCTAAATAAGAAAAATCTTTTAAGAAAAAACGCAAAATATTTTACAATCAGAAATAATGTATATTGAAGCAAGTGAGTGTTGTTAGATCTATCGATTAAAATTTTGGATTTAAAAGAAGAAAAGAAATATATATATCCTAAATAGTTATTAATATTCATAGAGCAGCAAATGTAAGCCATTAAATCGACTATTTATACACTTTTCTTAGTGAAGTGAATTTATTTCGATTTATTATTTTCTACTTAATGCTTTTTTCTTTTCTTTTTTTCCAGACTTCACAACAGGATAGACACGTAACTGATGATAGCCGTACAGGGTCAAGAAGAGTTTCCTGTAGTAGTAGAACCCGTCGAATTCTCTGCTTCTCAAATATCAACGACAATGGTTTTTAACAATTGATTGATCGAATTCCAATTGGAACAGATAATCATAAATATCATTGACGTATTCAGATACTAAGAGCAAATTTTCACCATCATCGTCATCAATATCAATTGTGTGTTTATGTGCGTTTACATGTTTTACAATTTTTCTATGGATAAACCATCCCCACCGGCTGTAGTCGAGTGCACTCCAAAACCAGCTGTTTCCAACTCTTCTTTTAACTTCCAGCATACTTCATTCTTAGCATAATTATTGGGCAACAAGACTATAACATAGCCACCTGCTCCCGCACCGATTACTTTACAAAAGAATTCTCGTTTGTAAGCAATACTGAAAATTTGCTCTAACATTGTTATAAGCTATATATATATATATATATTTTTTTTTTTGAAAGTTTCGATTCATTTATGGATTTCAGTAAAAATCACTGCTTCCTTCGCTTGTGAATTTTGTTTTGATCGTAGAGAAAGCCGTTAACTTGTTTTTTTCTTTTACACCGTTTATAAAAAAAATTTCCATCTATGTAGAACGAATAGAACACAGAGTCAATAAGTTCGATAAATAAGAAAAATGGTGAAGAAAAACTCACCAATTCTTGCATGAATTATGATCATAATGGGTCCCACAACTGGGTAAATTACTACATTGAATGCGAAATTCAAGTAAAAACTTTTAAATTGCAAGTAAGAATATAAATTGATAATGCGTATGAAATGTCTTTTTGTATTACATTTTGCTTACCTTTAAATCCGAAGCTCTTGATATGTTTTATAAGAAATTTTGCATTATAATTTTTTTTTTTAAATTTCATTAATAAAATAAATAAATAAATATGCATCCATTCATATATCAGAGTTTTTATTAAACAATTCCATACAGCAGGATGAAACACGTGCCAAATGTAAACAAAAACAGAAGCATAAACAGAAACATCGAAATTCCATCAGCTTTTTTTCATTTTCATTGCAATTCAATCAGCTTTTGTTTAGATTCATCGAAATTCCATCAGCTTTTGCTTAGATTCATAGCACAAGTTGCAGCTTTTGTTTAAATATGAATCGTTTCTTGCACATGCAAATGGATGAAAGGAAGTTGAATGATTCTTTTGAATTTTTTTTTTTGAAATAACTTTTTATCTAAAAACTTGAAAAGCGGTAACGCATAACTCATAATAATGAGTGTTTTTTTTTAGCAAATAAACTTTTTCCTTGCATTTAAATTGATATTCGAAAAATATTTTTTTTTTATTTTACATATATATAAACTTATGTGCAGATCGTGTATTCGCTAATTAATCTTACATCTACATAAAATGCTATCTAGAATACACGGAAATGTTTAGAGTAAACCGAAAGATTTTTAAAGATTAAAAAAAAATTTTTTTTTTATTTAGCATAAACATAAATACTTTTCTCATGAATTTCAAATTTTAAATTAAGTGTGCATAACGAGAATTATCTATTTTTAATTTTGACTTTTCAGATATTCCTTAATAATGAGTGACGCAGCTGGCAAATTTACGAAGTCGATCTAGAGGATATATGCCACAGAATCAAATCAATTCGTGTTGACTTCACATATCGTCGGTACTGAGACTCTTTCTATATCATATTCTTCGGAAGGCATATTTTGAAACAGATATCTGCTATCCACCTTAATTTATTGATGGAAAATTGATTGATATTAAAAAATTTTAGGGGCAAATAGCACACATTTTCAAAGTGGATGTCGAGTTATTCGCCTTGAAAGTCAATGCACTTCTTTCTTATCACGCAAGTACAGGTTGGAAAATGTCTAATTCTAGTTAATGTTCATTGCACATTCGTTACCTTTGAATATCATGTTAAATGTTTGAGTATGAAAGTTGTGCACCAATATTGTTCTAAACGCTGTTTGATATTGCAAAATTTCCCACCACAATTTCCTTAAAAATCATACAACAAAAATCAAACATCTCTGTGCTTTTTCAACTCTGAACATATGGTACTTTTTATACACAATGTGAAGGGGAAATCAGGTAACGGCTCTTAGCGAAGAATTTACCAAATCAAAATTGACTTAAATTCAAATCCATTTTACAAGTGGACGTAGATGTTGAAAGCAGTTAACAATTGCGAAAAATAAAATTATATTTCTTTTCAAAAATAGTGAAGCATAAATAAATAGTTAAGCATCTAAATTGAATAAATTCTACAATTTAAAAGTGAGTAGAAAATCAACTTAGTACAGAAGGAGATTGTAGGAAGTGGAGAATTGAGAAAAAATATTATATTTTTTTTTTATTAGCTGGGCGTTTTTACATTTTTTTTTGTAAAAAAAAGCATTAAAAAACCTCAAAAACATTAAAGGCATCAAAAACTTAAAAACACAAAAACAAGGTTGTCTCGACAAAAAATCGTTTGTTCATTACTTTATTGGCGGTAAGCACATTTCCATATATTTCACGCATTCTTACATTTTTGTTATATGCATGCTGTCTTAAGTCGTCTACTGCGGGAATACTTCAACTTGTGGCATCATCGTGGAGGGTCGATTAAAGACCAATATGAGAAACTAGCTGGTAGACTGAGCATGAAACTGAACAATGCGGTGTCCGTTCAGAAGGATACAGACTTTAAAGGACGTTAGAAGTGGTCTGAAACGACTTAAGGGAGGGTCGGTTCACAGCGTGTACCTATGGTATGCGTATGAATTGGGGCTTCAACGGAAACAATTAAAAAACAATTCGACCGTGTCAGGAAAGTACAGGAAATGATACGTTCAGAGATGGAGGGATTCTGTGGGTTTAAAGAGGAAGACGTGTTAGAGGAAGCTATACCATCCATAAATGATGTGTTAGTAGGTCTGATTACGATTGCAAACGACGCTGACACTAATAGGACTGACGGGACTTGTACGCAGAGCAGTGAGATCGTGCCGAGCAGTGAGACCAATACCTTATACGATCCAGTATTCAGTAATGTAATTGATTATGACGGCCCTTCGACATCAGCGCAGACGGCGCCGATGGAAGAGAATTGACGGCTCCGAGCCGATTTGAAAATTTGAGGTCATCAGCAGAAATAACGGCGCTGGTGAAAAAACTGATGAGCCTGCAGGTGCAACGATGAGCAACCGGATTCAGAGCGGATGACGACGACCTCCTACGCAATAGAACGATGCATCGCTGAGCAGCTGGGATGCGAAGCGTGTTTGAAGGCTCTCACGCCGGGGGAAGATGCATCCTGCAAAGAGGAGAGCGGTCGAAAAGTTACGAAGGACAAAAAAAAACAAATTGACTCTCTCCTCCGCACATGTGAAACCGACCTTCCCAACAAAAGAATCTACGATGCATTTAACGACACCTACAACGTTTTCTACTCTGCTGTACGACAACATATGGTGGAGCAGAACATAGGCAAGCGCGTGAAAACGACTGTAGTGGCACGGCTTACTTTCTTCAGGGCGTCAGGATCCTGTAGTAGCGGCAGTATCCACCGGATAAATTTATTGGGATACGCGCTCTTTATACTAACAGGAAAAAAAAAACTTCAGGGAGCAGAAGGACATCGACATAACGCCATTCTAAGGTAAATATAATAATATATTTCAAAATCTAACATTCATTCGTTCGTTTTTATTCCATTTTTAGACTCAAAATCAAATGCAGCTCTCCGATCGCCGCCTCCGCATCATGAAAATGATTCGCTCTCCTCCAATGGTAAGTTAATGTTTATCCTCTTTGTGTTTATCTCCGGTTTATCCTTATTTGTATTTAATTTTAGATAAAATTACAAGCCGTTCAATGTCGCCCCCAATTAAATGTCGCCATCACCGCCTCATTGCTTCCTCGCCCTAAGGTATTTATAATGTTACATAGGTATATTTACAAATTTCTAATTATTATTCTATTTTAGATTACATTAAAAATCAAGTTTAATTGGTTACCACACTTCTTGTGAGTGAGAACCATTTTTTTTACCACTTTTGGCAATTTTAATAATAAGGTATTGCCATATTGAAATTTCCTTCATACGGCTCTGTTAACCAAAACAAAACTGTGTTTGACCAGCAATTTTTTTTTGCTAAATTTAGCATTTGCTATTAATTAAAGTTCAAAAGGATTCCGATGACCGCTCGTTATAAAGCCCCGTATCCAGCTTATGTGTTACGTAAAGTAAAACAACTAATTGCGCCCAAAGAGGATGCTATATATATGATAAATCGTAATCCTCGTAATCTGGAAAGATTGCGCATTGGGTACAAGCCGGACGGTTTTCACTTGGAAAAGCCTGGACGTTCGTTTTGGCATAAACTAGAAGTTAACGTAAGTGGTCGTTCAGTGACAGCCGAGGTGAAGCACTTCCAGAATGGTGCGGTTATTACGGCGAGCACTTCAGAATGGGCTATCCAAAAGCAATTATTTAAGACTAAAGATACATCAGCGTTTATTAACTTAGCTCGGGTCCTAGCAATGCGTTGTCAGCAATCGGGCATAACAGAAATGTCGTGCAATGTTGAAGCGGTACCAAATAGCAAAGTGGATAAATTCCTTAAAACCATCCAACAGGAGGGAATAAACTTAAAAGAACTACCCCGCTACAAGTTATCAAAGCCTTGGGATGTCGATAGGCCTGATAAACCTTGGGAAATATTAGAAGAACATATTTCAAAAGCAAAATCTACGCCTAATAAAATCCTTCAATAAGAAGATATGAATGTTTAATAAATGTTATATTTTTATTTCACGCCGCACTTTTTTGCAATAATTTTACTATTAACTTTAAGAAATTTCCTTATTCATATTTATGCTTAATATCCTTCCACAGTTTCTGCAAAAATAATAGATAAACTTGGAGAATTAGACTTACATAACAAATGAATTGAAGTACTTACGCCTTTGTTAGCAGATTCGAAAATAGTTTCCGATAAAACGTCAAAGGTCCGCTCGAAGAAAAAGGCGCTGAACATTATGCCTATGGCATAAGTAGACGTTCTTTTGAATAGGCTATTGTAAAGGACCTTCATTTTTGTTAAGAGTGTTGATACCTTTCACCACAAATATTGATTCACTAAATAATTCGTATCAAAATAAAGGAAAATTATTAACTGTCAAGAGACAGTTGACAACAAAGAAAACGCGACGTTAACAAATCGAATTTCGGCAAAAGAAGAAGTCTTTCTTAGCGTTGCCAAAAAAATCATAAATTTGTAATACCATTGAAATATATTAGTTCGAACTTAGGGGGCGTCGTTTTCGGTTTTCTATCTTATGTGCCAACTTTCGCCAAATTAATGCTTTTTAGATGCCTTGTTGCGCCACTTATATCGTGTGATAGATATGTACATCCTAAATTAAATTCGGTTTCTAAAAAAAAAAACAATTGACATAAACAAGTGTGCCAGATAGGCCTTCAATAAGCGGAGATATGCTAGGTATTAGGTGCCGATCTTTCGACATATCTTAATATCCGAATTATACTGTTTTCTCCGTAATGTTTTCCGTATCCGAACATCAAGTCGGAAAATTTTCTACCTGACAACAATTAATTAACATCATCAAGATTGATCTCTGTTAACGCTGTAAAGTTGCTACTCTACATCAGAATGATTGTCAGATCGAATAACTTTAAAAGAACTATAGAGGCGTTTCAGAACCCATGAATCATATCTAGATTCTCTCTTTATTTCTTATAATACACGGTATTGTCATATTATCTATATCCTTATCTTCGCCGTTGTTCACGACTAAGGAGTCTCTATAGTCTTATTGGCGCATTAATTGTTAATTACAGTAACGATCGTTGTTGCATAATTTTATTGCCTTTAGTAATTATTACTATTAATTAAAAAGTTTATTAAACTAAAAAGGAACACATTATTGGTATTGATTTATTTCGTGCCCGTTCCTTGAACGTGTTATTTTGAAAACTACTCACTTCTCCCTTTGGCATATTTTTTCCATACGTTTCTAACTTCGCTTCAACCCTTTTGATAATGATATTTACACAAACACATTATAACTTCCGCTGCATTCCGTTTCGTAGATTGAAAGAAATCTTTGAGGCTAATTATTATTTATAAACTATATTGATATTAAAGAATCTCGAACTTTATAAAAAAGTGAATTTATAACAATGGTCGACTTAACTGATAGCTCATCGCCATACCAGCAAAGCATTCCTAACTTAGTTTTCTACGTGCCAGCAGTGGTTGTTTTCAGTTTGGCAGGTAAGAGCAATAAAGCACAAACACATCCATTCGTTAAAACCAATATGGAAGAGGAGAAAAAAAACATGTATATGTGTCGTCATTTTATAACTTCACACCTAATAAAAAACGAGTAAACGTACTTGATAGATATCTAGGAAAGCAAAGTCATTCATTAATCTTTTACAGTTTCTTATCAGATTCCGGTATATCTATTGAATCGTTGTCTGTTTTCATTTGTCGATATTGTAACGTGCACAGCATTGTGTGATGTTTCATTGAATTTCGCAGACGTTCTATTCATCCGTGAATCTCGTTAGGGATCCTTAGAGAGTACAATAAATTTTTTTGGTTGTACAATATACTTTCTGAGACAATTAAGCGTCTTATAATATACTTATGCACTGTCAATAACTCCTGGAACTGATTAATCTCGGTCGGTAAGAAGGAATTCCTAGTATTTTTAGAGAGTACTGTGCCTTCAAGTTCGAATACCTTTTGTTTCGAACAAAATGAAGCAACTCAAATTCGGACATCACCAGTTTAAATAGATTTTGATTAAAAGTGTGATGTGCCCTTCTTAATTTTCTGCAATAATCATAAAGAACTAATGGACATATGGACATCGAATTCTAATGTGGCGTGGTTTAAGGCAAGGTTTATATCGCCCAGCCTCTGGGACGAGTAAATTGGTTTATCTTTATCAACAATGACGTTTTCTTTCCCAATCTTGCTTTCACTCAATTGTAATAAGAGAACATCGATGACGACGACAGATCAATCGGTGATATTTACTTTTAGGATATGATGAAACAGAAAAAAAAAAAAAACAAAAAAAAATATTCGTAAATTTGCTTTATTACCCTTTTCCATATTTGTTTATGCTATTTGGATTCCCCTAAGAAGTTTGGAATATGATCAAACAATATATTATTTGACTTCTTATAGGGTATTTGGTTTCAATATCTCTCTTCTGTTAGCGTATTAAAAACAATCAAAATGTTATCATTTAAAACAAATTCTATTCACACATACATATAAATTCATCCATACAATTGACCACGTTGTGCAGTTTGCTATAGATACAATAAATACTTTGCTGACGTTGCTCGGAAACTTTCATTTGTTTAGATTAAATGTTTGAAGTGCTTAGTAGGAATTGTGCTAAAGAAATTCGCATAATTCGTTCAGTTTTCTAGTCGTAGTAGTAACATCAAGTAGTTATTGCAACAATTTCATTGAGATTTTAAGAGATTTTCATAAAATTTTATTGGCTTTAAATTTTATCATTCGGATCTTGTTTATTATGATGATAACTTTTATAATTTTAGAAAATTATATGAAACATTTAAATTTCTAAATTATATCCTCGGAATAGTAAATTTTTAATGATAAGGGGAATTAATAATTATTTTATGCTCTTTTTTTTTTTTTTTTTTTAATTAGTTAACCCCTGTTAAAGATGTGCTCACTCTTTTTATAAGTCTTGAAAACCGCATAAGCCTTGTCGTTGACATTATTTACTAAATATTTAAAAGCAGATTTTTAATAATTTTCCCTTTCTTCTTTATTCATAAATTTTTCCATTAATAACAAAAAGCATATTTTTGTTTTATTTTTAATAATTTACTTACAATCAACTCTAAGGATATGCAGTTTTTTAAACTAACGCAACTTACTCTTACATCTATCAATCAATCAAATAAAAATCTCCGGATTTTTTAAAAGCCAATAAAATTTTTTCTCCCTAACTATAACAAAGTATTGTCAACGATCGACCAGGAGCTTTCTCAGATTACTAGGACAAGGCTTAAACTTTTATAAGGTGTAATAAAATGGCTGATGATCCTGTTAATCAACAACAATTTATGCAAGATGTGGCTGCCGCTGAAGGTCCCGACGGTTATATCAATTTAGGTGATCCGAACAACTTAAATATGCCTAGTCTGGATGAGGTTTTACAATTAATTGAACAAATGAAGGATCTTAGTGAGGAAGAACGTGAGAATTTGCGTGAAAATCTTCTTAAGTACACGCAAACAGGAACGAATGTCGTGAGTCATTCCACGTGGGATTATACGATATTTTTAGCCATGATTATCCTAATTATGGTAGTTTTTGGTAAGCTAAATAACTCAAAAAAAATACCTAAAATTGAAATAAGTTTTTTCAGTACAAGGCGAAGCAAAGACTTTATATTCGAATTCATGACAATGGTATAGGTTTAGGCATAGGCGCAGCGTTGGTCATATCTATAAAATTTTCACATTGAATTTGGGAAAGGTAGGCACTGACAGCAACTGCCAATTGGCAAACCGATAACGATTGAACATATTTGGAATTTTTTGAATTTTCTCTCGAAACGACTCTAATACCTTTGGTAACTGGGCTCGAATCGCATTCGTTCGTGTCATATCCCTGCGTCTGTCTAACTATATTTTAGATATCTAGATTTTCACTCTATCTTATAGACGGAAGCGGAGAACCCATGCTTCGCTCTTGAATAATAAAACAAAACCCCTTCCAATCTGATCCCTATTCATAACTAGGTTATAAAATCAACAACGACATAACACGCAAGTATTTGGCTTGAGTCATATTCAGATTGCAATGACTTTCGATTTTTAACGAATAAAGAAAAAGCATTGTGTGAAATGTACAGAGCGGTACTATCAGTGAAATATTTTCCCGTATATTCTTAAACTAGTATAATTGGCAACATTACTATTCTTTAAGAGTTGAAACTGAACCAAGTGCAACAAAGGTCGTTTAATGGGCAATATGAACACACAACTCCCTCAAATGCTTCGATAAAAATGTAATTAAAAAATTGCAATGGTATTATTTAGCAAAAAAAAAAAAAAAAAAAAAAAACCATATCACACCTGCTTAAATTCGGCAAAAGCCTTAGTTTTCTCATAATAGAAAAAAAAAAAACAGGTTCAAATGGTGGGTCGCAGCCCACCATGAAAACTCTCCACCACTCCGCAGTTATTCACAACAATAAGCAGCGAATCCACGGACCTCGATATCGAGTAAAATCGGCCCAATGAACTTAACACGTACGCCGACTTGAATGTCACAGCATTCGTTTCCATTGAGATGCAAAATGACAAATTTTAAAGCCAATTATTTTTAATTTAACTGTAATTCTCCCATCGTCCTGTTTCCTCATGTTTTCACGTATGCGACTCACGTCAAACCAATTGAAAAATTTCATATATATAGCATCCGTTGCATTTATCGATAAAAAACAGAATATTCTAACTATTCTTGAGAGAATGTATTCAATCAGATTTTGGATATCACAACTAATTTTGAAATAAATTGGCCATCATTTTTTGCACCTCACTGAACTATGCATTTTCCTTACTATCGAATGAAAAAACTCTCGATCGTAAATTTATTGTCAACTAACATATTTAAACTACGATCGAATCTTCTCGATATCGAGAATCAGAAATTGACCTCAGTTTTTATGTCCTTAGGCCAAAACACGTCAGACGGACAGACAAGCTTAGATGGATTCGGAGTCACCTTCTGGAACTGTCTGAAGTTCTTCTGGGTCTTGCAAACATTTGTACAAACTTCTTGCACAAGCACTGTAGCACAAGTGGTGTAGGGTATAATGGGTTTATGGTCTTCAGATATAATCTGAAAGCATTATTAGTCCTCTCTCAAGTTGCATTTGAATGTTTATTTGTTATGTTGAAATATAATTCTTTTTTTTTTTCTCTTATTATAGTGTTCTTTGGTTATAAACTATATGTAGCCTTGAAGCAAAGGGAACTGCGGAAAGAAGGAAAACTCAAAAGGAAAGAAATGAAAAAGACAGCAAAAACCAATTAATAATAATAAAATTCTAATATCAAATAAAATCAATAATTGTAACGTATAAGATAATATATTATGCGATGCATTAAACAAGCTCAAAGTCTACGAAGGGGAGGGTAAGGAGGGTAGCAATTTTATTAGCATCTAGGAGTACATGCAAGCAGAGCCCTATAAAGGGATTTTTTGAAGTTGTTAATACATCTGTTTAAAAATGAAAGCATTTAACGATTGTTTGCCAAATTTTATGTTTCTCTTTCCATTTATTTTTTGCTATTCTATAACTTTTTAAAGCATAGACAAAATAAACTTTTCGAAAAACCGACAACCGTTTTGTCTTTTCTTTTTTTTGTTTTTTGGCTGACTTAGTTTAATGTGTCGAAGAATGTTGATAGAAGCTATTTAAATAAATTAAGAAAATGATTAAAAAATAAATCTCTTGGACACGTTTATACAGTATAACTTAAATCATCGAAATCATTCACTTGAAGATTGTCATCCACGTAGATTTCTTCAATCAGTTCTTTAATTTCTAGGGTCTCGCTTGAGTCTGCCTCTAATGAACGGTGCTCTCGTAATGGCATTTGAGAATCTGATGATTTCTTAAACCTTTTCTTTAGAGGTTCATTTTCTAATCCCTTATGGTTTTCCGCACAATGTTTTTGTAACAATCGGAGATTAATGAAAGCATCTTCACAATGAGGGCAAAAGAATCTGCAAAGAACACAAATATTTTCTAGCAAACTATTTTCAAGTATGCACTTTCGGTTTATGAAAAATGCATGGACGAGTTTATCATTTTCGATGTCGAGTAAACACGATAGCCATCGATTATGGATTCGCTGAGAGTTTACAATCCATAAAATAAAGCGTTTTTCATACTATCGAATGAAAAATCTTTCAATCGTCAAGTGACGTATGTACTCAGTATCGAGAACCATAAACTGACCGCTGATTGCGCGAAAATAGTAAAAATATTTCAGTAATCGTGGATAAAATCAATAAGCTCACACCTTAGTGCTTAATTGTAGCTAGATATCGGATTTTTTTCCTTTTTTCGAAGCTTTCTCAGTTCTTCAGCAATTTTCAGACAGACGGAAGTTGTAATAATACTTACTGGAGTCTTCCATTAGAAAGCATGGGCCGAAGAGGATTATTAGTAGGGTAAGGTGCAGAATGGCCAACGGCTTATAATCTCGGTAAGTAGATTTTGCCCGTCCGTTTTTTCTTATAAGAACAAAGTACGTATATTTCTTCGGTTGTAACCGTAACAGTCTGTGTGGTGGATGTGGGACAAAAATTCAAAACCTCCACTGTCGATCTCTACAACCTCCGCTCCTATTCAAGTGGAGCAGTAGTTCTGTATTCAAGCAGACAGTGAGGATTATTAACAGACATCATACCGTTACGAGGTGCGGAAGTGACAATGTACATATATTTTCTCATAAATACATTTAAAGCATATTTAATTGCTATATGCTTACAAAAGTATTTGAAAATAAATCTTATGAGAAATAATTGAAATACATTTCGGAATATCATACCCCATAGGTATTCACGAGGAGCGGATAAATCTGAATCTCATTAGTGATACGTAACCATTTCCAAATATATTTACGCAAATTTTCGAAGAAAAATTTTAAAGAAAGTTAAAAAGCGAATTTTCTTGAAAGTCCATTGTCGATTTCTATAATTATTAAGAATTCACTAATGATTTTCTAAAAAGATATTTTCAAAGTTTTCCTGAGACCTCGGTCAAAAATGTTTTGATACCTTTCGCGGTAAGGTTTTTTCACTCAACACTTACTCCTTATTTTCATGATATCGTCGCATGTGTTGCTTTAGAACGTGTTTGCGGGTGAACTGCTTTGAACACAATTCGCAGCGAAATTCCTTTTGATTATTATGTTTAGCCATGTGAATGTCCATAGATTTTTGATAATTGGTAGTGAACCCGCATAGTTCGCAATTATACGTTATTTGTGTGTGTGCTGTTTTTTCGTGATTTTCCATTTCGCTGCGATGATAGAAGCCTTTCTGGCAAACACTGCAAAAATACCGTTGCGTATGCTGATGAACGACATGTTTGTGGATTTCAAAGTTTTTACGATTTTTGATGGTTTTAAAGCATTGATCACATGTTACGGGCGTGTGCATGTAGTCAATGTGCTCCTGTAGGCATTTTTCGTCCTTGTACGAATAATGGCAATAAGAGCATTTCAGGTATTCTGTTGAATCAAAAAGTTTAGAAGGGTTGAAATTCTGTATAAAATATTTTCAAGACAACTACTCACTGTTATTGTGACTGCGGGCCACGTGTACAGCTAAAGACATTTTGGTGGGACAAAGTTTTTTGCAAAACTGACATTTGAAATCAAGTTTAGAAATCTTATCAGCATTTAGTTTTCGATGGGGACGCTTTTTATGATAATAAAGAGACGACCACAGAGGATAAGATTCCTCACAGTTCTATATAGTCGATATACATTAAATGAATACGGAATCAAATGCAAATAATTATATACCGATTTACCTGTTTATTGCACACATACAAACGGCAGACTGGAAAATTTTCCTGCCAATGTTCATAGGTTTTATGAGTTTTCACATGATTACGCATACGTCTATAATCGTCGTGCGCCTTATCACAAAGTGAGCACTTGAATAAATCATCACGATGGGTGGGCGACGATAAACGATGTTTCTTGAGCTGTTTTACATTTTCAAAATCCAAACTGCAATTTTCACAATTATAAACTACAGTAACTATCTGCTCAACAATTTCAGCGTTGAAGCACGGAGACGATGAATCAATTTCTGTGTGCATCTGAAAGGAACGAAAGTTGGTAAACAATATAAATAATTAGAATTTCATTGTGTGTACTTTCAACGTATCACTTTCACTGCCAACTAGTCCACACTCGATGCAAACGTAGGCATGGACTTCCGTTTCGGGCAAATGAAATTTCTGATGCTTGCGGTAACTATTACTGCTGACAAATTGTTTATGACAATATTCACACTGCAAGTATTTGGTTTTGTAATTGTGATAGGTTGCCTAAGATATAAAAAGAGGCGGATAATTCAATTTTCTTTCGATACGTTTTAAATGAAGATCTTACCATATGTGTTAGTAAATTATGGCGATATTCATATTTTTTATGACATTGTGAACAATCGTACGAAGGCTTTGAATTATGTTTCTTCATATGGCTTTTATACAGTTTTTCATCCTTAAAACAACGATCGCATCTAAAAATAAAGAAAGAAAGAAAGTTTATGATCCTCTTGATCCCGATTTTGAATTTCCGTTCAGATTCATAAATAAATAAATTTTGGATAATTTGCTTTCGAACTTATCCACGTTGTTTTCAAACTGGACACTGAGTAATTTATCAATGATGAGAATATATTTTACCATTTCATTGAGTGTGCAACGAAGTATATATATATTCTTGACCAGCAGTAAATTTTAAACCGATTTAGCTGTTTGTGTATTGTGTGCGGTGCACATTCTCTTGGTCGCGAAAAAAAAACCTGCAGACTTCAAATTTGGTTGAAACATTGTAAGATCTTCCACGCCGGTTCATATTGAAAGCGGAATCAATCGGCCTAAGGACACGAGCACAGTACAACATAATCTGAGGCTACCTCTATTGTCAAAAATAAAAAAAATTTCTCTCTCAATTTCTTTCTCATTATTCTACGGATGGCCTTGCAGCATCTGTACAAAAATGGAAAACTTCGGCCTACATAAAATTAAAGATGATTTTTTTCATTTTCTTGATGTGTTCTTATTATTATATAAATAAATAAGATAGAATGTTGAAAATTATTTTCCTCACATGAAGATATATTATCTGCCTAAAAATATATTAATTCTAAAATAAATATTACTTCATACAGTGGAGAATTAGCTTTTTGTTAGCAATGTAATCAATTGGGTATCAAATAAAAGGTCGTGGAGTATAGAATATGGTAAGCTAAGCGTGTTAATTATAATTGTCTCGGCCGAATATAAGTTTCTTACTTGGCTTTCCTCATTTTTGCAGACTTTCGAAGAAGTCTTCATAGGTTTCGGCTATCAAAACCAAGCAATATCTTACGTCTTTGTGATGGGTATAAGAATTTTTAATTATTTTTTTTTTAAGTAAAATTCGAATTTTTAACGTTACTTACTTTAGACAAGCTTTAAGATTGCCCATTTCATGTTTGTAGGTGACATGTTCAAAGAATTCGTTGAGGTCATCAAATGTTGCCGAACATATCAGGCAAATTTTTGGACGATGTTTTTGCAAATGAAATTGCATATGAAAAATGTATCTAGTAAACAAATGTAATAAAGTAGGAGTCGGATACGTAAGTAAAACCCAGCCTTACCTTTTGAATGATTGAAAACTTAAATTACAAAATTTGCAGGTGTTGCCTACGCCGGGTATTCGTCTTAAATGACGGCAACAAGAATGCTTGTTATATTGTGTAAACTCTGAAAAGTTACATTCACATTCGGGACAGCTTCCATAGATTTTCAAGCTAATAAAGTGCATTGAAACATATAAACGAGTTATAATTATTCATTGGTCTGCAGAAATTACCTTTCTAAGTTTCTATAATGCCTTATAACAACATGTCTAGCTAAATGCTTGATATTTGTTAAAACTTCATCGCAACCTTTGAACAGACACACGAAATTTTCTTCAGAGGCTTGTTTCGTGAGGCAAGTGTGCGTTAAGAGTTCCTGTAATGTCTCGTATTTGCCCAAACACAACTTTAAGCAGAAGAGAAGCAAATGTAATTAAAAATATTCGTTTTTAAAATATTAAGTACCTTGCACTCGGTAGTCCAACGTAGCTCCAAATTTTCGAATTCGGTACTTAGAGCTAAGTCTAAGTAACCGTTAAAGTCAACACGATCGACAACCAAAGAACTAGGAATTTCTGGAAATTTTATGTGATCCATAATTCGTTTAATATAATTAAAATAAAAAGTACCATTGAACAATTCTTGAGCTTCCACATAATCTGCGGAACAACTTCCATTTTCAGCTTCAACTTCGTCACAGTCACTACCTGCAAAATCAATATCGGAACTTTGGGTATCTTCTTGTACTACGTATACTTCGTTAAAAACTTTTTCATATTCATCATCCGTGTTTGCTTGATTACTGTGTGAATTTTCTGCTATCTCTTCAAATAATGCATCATGGTAATCAAGTTCGTTTTTGCTCGCTACATTACTTTCCGGAGATAACATCTTGACCGAGTTAGCTTCATTTGTTACGCTATCAAAGCTTATGTCTTCAGTTGTTATGAGCACGCTTTCAAATTGCGAACTTTCGGTTTCATCATTACCATCCGACAATATTTGTTCGCAGAATTCATTAGACAACTGATCATCGTCATTCACACTTTCAAATTCGCATTCAGTTTCCGAAACCGTCTGCGAATGCCTCTCGTCTGATCTTTTGCCATGCTCTTCCAAATCCACTAACTCAATTAAATGATTCACACAATCTTCACATAATTTTTGGTTGTTAGTTTCCAACACTTTTAAATGGAAAAACTTTTCCACTAATTTTACTAGTTGCAATTCCGTTCCCAATTCATCGAATAAATCCTGAAACTGCCTGCTTTCATCTGCCGATTCGCAATTAGCGAAATTGCAATGCAAACAAACGTCTGATTTGACGGTCATCTTTCCATATGTGCATATGTTTTTACTTCCAAATCAAAATAATAAAAAACTTGAGTAAAATTTCAATTTGTTTGAATCAGTAGAATTAGTTTTTTTTTATATATACGACACGTTCTATATGACAGCCGAAAGTTAAGAAACGCCATCTTGTTAAACGCAGGAGTGTATTTGCACGTCCACTCACCTACAGCATTTCCAAAAATACAGGGTTACCATTGCACAATAGACGGTTAATAATTTGGAAATATGTTTTCTCTCGAGCCCTTTCTTGCGCACATTATACATATCCAGCAGTCCAGTTATACCAGCAATGTCTTTTTCGAAATTTCTTGACATTTAAAGAATATAAAACTATTTCACATCTTCATCATAATGTTCCAAGAAAAGAGACAAGAAGCTAAAACAAGGGAGTGAAACTACATCTCGATGGCGGTAGGTTTTTCTTCGCTATTAGCTATAGCGAATACAGTAAAGAGATAACATTACCGATTAGCCACTGGGCTGCCGCTGTCATCTCCCTGTCTCTTTCCCTGTTCTCATTTCTTTCTGATCGTGACAGTCTTACACGAATAGGAGACCATCGTGATTCGTCGTATTAAAAAAAAGTAACATTCGGAATAACAATGGGATACAATGAACAAAAAACCACTCATTCATAGTTTACTGTGAGTTTACAGTCTTTAATGCTAAATAAGTCACCAGCTGACTAGTAAGAAATTGATAATAAGAAAATCTTCAAATTTGGATTATGGATCTAACATTAACTTAACTGGTCCAATCCATCTCTAAACAAACAAAAAAAAAAAAAAAAAAAATCTTCAAATTTTCCGGTGCTTAATAGCACGCAAGCAGTAAGCAAAAGATCTTTTGAGATCTTTTAGCTTTTTTCTGTTTAAATAATGTAAGTTACTGAGAATAGGAAGCAAAATTTTGCATAATATACTTATTACAATTTAAACGAATTGCAACAACCTCTACAAATATTGGGCATACATCCGATTGATGTATTTTTCTGTTTTTTGGTAGCACTCGCGTCCAATTCTTAAAGATACTACAATTCTTTCGCTTGAGAATACACATACATGAGGTTTAACAATTTCCGATAATAGTAGTTTTTAGTGATCCCAAACTCCAATCTGTAAAGTATTGTATCGTAAGGTAATTTATTAGAAAAATGGTAATCCATATAATAATATATTACACTTTAGTATTACATGCATTACGCGAACGTAGATGAACGTAGTTACGACGACAGCAACTACAATGTTAGAATAAAGTTTTTAAATTCATATTGCGCTTGAAACATTAACCATATGATTTTGTTTTCTTTCTGTAAATAAATGACTATTTTGCCTGCCAAAAACAACGCACGCAAAAATTTTAAAAGTTTGGCCAAAATTAACATTTAGGCACAAACTAACGCAAGCATGGGGTTTCAGGGGTTTAAGCTTTAAAATGATTTTTATTTCAAGTTATTGTTCATTTTCATTTTATTACCACTATGTTGCATACAGTTTGATGTAGAAGTCTAGACAGTATTGCCAGGTATAGCACTACCACCGTTTATATTGCGACTGTGATTGGATATTTCAAATTAGGAAGAAAAGATTTTATTTGCCTCCATTTATGCATTTATGGCAAATGTAATAATGGTAGCTTTACTTCATTTATTTTTATTGATTGTGTGTTGTATTGTAGTGAAGCACAGTAAAAGTTCCGGTTGATAAAGTTTTCTTGTTTGGTGTGTTGACTTGCTGCATGTTGTATAACACATCTCTCAGAACTGAACTGTGATCAGTGTCTTATGTGATAAATAGTTTTGCTTGCACATCAGTGCTAGCTTAAGCAAATTAGATTTAATTTTTTATGGTAAGGTATTACTAAAGTTTCAGAAACGTAAATTATCTTAACTAGGGTACTATATTCAATGTGAATTATAACTAAAGTGGGTTATCTTAACTAGATTATAGCTACGTTTATATTATGTAGAAGTGTAAGAGAATGCAAAATTAGCAGAAGGTTTTAATAGGTAAGTAAGATATGATTAAGCAATAATGTTGCAGTATGATGGCATTACCGTTACAGTATGTACGTACCGAGCCTATAAAAGCCTTAATAATTGACAAAGGCCAACGGTATTTATAAAATATTCCAAACTTTTGGTAAGTCCACCAAATAGGGTCAATGCATGTCCATTGTCTGCCGTGGAAAATACCTTTTTTCAGCACTTTTCGCTAAACACAGCTGCGAATGCAGAAGCGATACCTAACTTCGTCAATACCGTCGTGAATTTTGATCCATCCATGCAATGCAAGGTATATATTCCTATATACATGAATATATATGGATAATTAAATCATATTTTGACATTTGTGTGTAAGATGCACGACTTAAATGCGTTCACTGTGTTAAGCTCTTTATTGTTAAATAAAATTTGTGTCAAGAAAAAGTATATTTATTTGGATTTTATAGACTACGACAAGGACGTGCGTATACGGCAGCAAATTCTGAGCAACTTCTTCTTCTCTTTAGATCATACACAATAAAATTGTCGTAATATAATTTTAGTTAGATGTCAACAACGTTTTAGCATCGTAGAAAACTTTGTAAGTGCAAGAGAGATTAGGATATTATTCTTTACATAATTAATTCAAGTTTTTCAATAAAGCAAAATAGCTGTACGAAGAGTTAACAATCTGTAAAATTTTCAAATTATAAGTCCATGATATAACAGTCACTTTAAGACCTTTAGGATACTTACGGATGTAAAAGCCGCCAAGTTGAAAGAATAACATCTATTTATAGTTTTAATGTGAATGGGTAAGTCGAGACGACCCATCATTTGCAGGGCGAGTTTCCGATTTTCCTCATTCCAGTCGACCCAGCCAGCTCTATAAATGGCTAACGAAAGTTTTTCGCTAGTCAATGTAACTTCATTGGCAAAGTAACACAACATAAATATTTGGGTAAACATACAGCATTGATAGAGAAAACAGCGGATAAAATTTAAAATTTCGTCACCTGTGGTAAGCTGAAAAATAAAACGAGAGCAGTTAATGTTATACATCCATTATCGGGGTATAGCAATCCACATAGTTCATAAAATTGCTTGTGGCATCCATGCACACCCCTTAAAGACTCCGCAGAAGGATAGCTGCAAGTTAATTGGGTCAGAAAGAAAGAGAAATTTCATTCTTCGTGCGGAGGCTGCCGCAAGACGTACTACCATACCTTGCGTTTTGATTTTTCTAGCACAACAAAAAATATTGAATTTTTAAATGCTTTCGGAAATCGTGTTTTAACAAAGAGAAGACATGCGGCTCTAACAGCCTTATAAGCTTTTTAGCTAAGTTATACATTTTTAAGCTTACAAACTGCTTGTTACCTGTTTAGGTCAAGCTTTGATGTGTTAACTCAACAAAGTTTTTGCGACTTATAAAGTGTACGTGTACTAGTCATGAATTTGAATTAAATGAATTCACTTTCTTGCTTCTCTTCGTATCAAACGTATACGCTATAAGTTTTGATTAAATATATTAATATTTAATAGAATTTAAAATTTGAATTTTCTAGTCCACGTGTAAAGAATATGTTTAGATTTGTTCGGAAAACAAATCTGAACAGATCCGTATAAATGGTTACCAATAACTAACTACGCACGTTATTAAATCAAGTATTATACACTACGTCACTTGCAGTGCTATGGTATACGAAATCTGGGCGGATGTATGCAACACAAACAAGAGCTTAAGTTAAAGCCACTTTTTTATATCTGTCGATTAAAAGGCATTTTCTGAACTTGTCCGCCCGTTTGTTCCTCTTGTTTTCTTATGTTCAACCTATAGTCAATTTTTGTCATATTTTGATGAAATGTCGCACACCGACATGTTTTGGGCTAAAGGCCAAGATGGGATTATTGATAATGGGTCAGGCCTCACATAATTCCGTATTTAGAAAAGCCGTTATATGAGTAGTTACGGGGTGACATAGGATATCTAATGGGGGGCCGTCGCCCGCTATAATGTTTTCAATTGTTCCTTCACACACTTTTGTCATACCATAGAAAAGACATAAAAGTTTGCTATCAACACCAAAACCGAACACAAGATTTGTATAGAGAGCGGTAAACACATTAAATCCTCCATCATATGAGTTAGCTCTAGTATGCGATCATAGTAGATAGCGCAAGCTTTCAATTCTTCATTAATATGTGAGTGATTCTGCTTAGAGCTGGATTTATGACCAATCTCCTCCAAGCGTTTACTTAATATATCCACTTGTCCTTTGATATGAATGAAAAAAGCGGCGCCTAAAGAATCGTAAGCTATATTCATCACACAACATAGGCCAAAACCCAGATATTCATAGAAATACATTATGAAATACTTCAATGGCACATTCGTGTCGATCGGTTCATAAATAGGCAAAGGCAGTTCCGTGGTGTCTTTTGCAAATTGTATCAAAAATGTTGTATTTATTGATATCAAGGACATGCCTCCATAAACTTTCAAAACCGTCTTTGACAAATGCAGAGCTCTTTGGAAAAGCTTATCCTCTTTTAAATCTCTGGGTAAGTATTCTCTGGTGTGTAACAAATCGAATAATTGTTGAAATGAACGATTTTTCATCTTCACTGTTAAAAACTTTCCCAGTACTGTCAGAGAGCTGGCCAAATTAAATATTACTCGTATTACTTCGCTTATATTATTAATATCGCAGAAGATTTGAATTATCAGCAGTAGGGCGAACAGTGCTACCAAGAATATAGCGACGATCCAGAAGTAGATCGCAAATGCTAAACGCTTATAGAAGCCAGAATTTACGGGTAAATCCCATATAGACACAAAACGGAATATTAAGATTTGCTTGCTATATAACATTTTAACCGATTCACCAGACTTGTCCATCGCGATTGCATTAAAACTGAAGGCAATTTCAATAAAAACTTCTCCAGCGGTTCGTTTACAAACATTTTGCCTTTAATTCTTTCTTATGTGCAGCTCATTCTCTTAATGTTTACAATAATTAAAAATTAAAGGAAAACTTTATTGCGCAATTAATTAAAAATCAATTATGAGTGCATTACGAGCAATTTTGCATGAGGCAGTGTATCCTGTTAAATAAGCAACGATGGTAATGAGGTCGTAGACTTGACATGACATTCGCGAGATACTAAACGCTTTCCTTTTCTTGTGCTGGGTCGAATTTTGTCGAAATAAGCCACTAAGTCCATTGGGCGAGCGAATTTAGCCAAAGATTCGCTTATGTATCCAGAGTCGGCATATTCTTTCTGCTACCTTTAGGCATTCGCATGTTGACCTTAGATTGATTTCTGATTCCGATTGAACATTTCGCAGAATTTTCAAAGCATTAAAAATTAAGGTAAAAACAAGTAAGAATGCCCTACACTACTTAAATTAGTTTTAGCTAAATTGAAAAACTTATGCTTATATAAATTCGTTAGGTGAAATTTTAAATTTATATCAAAACTGTAGAAGCTAGTAAATTTCATTATTAATCTAGGATTAGATACCCTATTATTTGAAATGTAATTATTAACTTAAGGTAGTAATAGTCATGATCTTGAAACTTACAAAATTTGGCGGTATTTTAATCTATATAGAGGAACCTGTTCTATAATCGATAGCCCACGATGTACCTAACATAAACTAGTATACCGTTTATATACCGTTGTTATTAAATATTTATACTTTGCTTACAGTTGTTCATATAATGGCTTTCCAGAATAAGTTATTTTAACAGGCGCTTGCATGTATTTTGATCAGCAACATCTATTGTTGAAAATGATAAAGTAATACGAAGTTGAACAATAAACGATGCAAGCGAATAAAGTTTGAAAGGCGTTCGATAAGTGTTAACGTGGAATTAAATTAGATGCTTATAAAGTATAGAAGAAATAAAAAAATTGGAAATAATCAAAAAGAGAATTTTATGTAAAAAAAAATTAAGAAGAAGAAGAAGAAAGTCATGGTCGTTTTGTATCGAATGTTCACTGTGGAACAATCCGTGACCGCCGCACGTGCGGCCTTCTTTCATTGATATCTATGTATAACACGTAAATAAATTTCAATGCAAGCTAGTATAAGAATAGAAGAATAAGATATAAGGTTCCGAAATCTATTACGCGATGTATCAATGTACACAATAGCCAAAATTTGATGATTTTGACCTTCCTCTACATAAAGTAACATTTGGCCAGTTAGTATCATTGTATATACACGCTAATCAAGGAGCGCTCAAATTTGCGTTGTCGACACTCATTATTTTTGTTATTTGATTTGAAGTAATCTGCTGACGAAGCCCACCAAACAGTTTTAGAAAGCTTATGGTAATGCTGCTCCATCATACAGCCGTTGTCGGTTTTCGTTCCAATGGCTTAAATGGATTGCTGTCAATGACAAAGAATGACCTTAACGACCAAAAATGTTCGAAGACAATGAATTGGAAAACTGCTAAGAGAACTTTCAAACAGCATAGCAGTTGGCGAATCAACTGTTTGTAGACGTTACAACGACGACGATATAACGACATCATTATGCGGCACTTTGTTTGCATTAATTACTATTATTGACTGATAACATTTCTATGCAGCTAACGATCTTCAATTCAAATTAAGTAAATTCAACGGAGAGGAATGGGCGATCTCCCATTATAGTTCCAATGATTCCTATGTGCATCGACAGCTTCCGCAAATCTATGCCGATGCTTAGTAATAAAAGGAAGGCTTTTTTGCTATTTAGCTTCACAATTTATTTCAAATAAATTGGAATAACTATAATAAGATAAGTTTGTTAATAAGAAACATCGATTAAATTATAATCATAATTAATGAGTGGTTCTCCATTAATTGCTCGAGGAAATTAAAATAAATTAAAATTTTAACGAAGTTATCAATTAAATGACATAGATGTGTGAACATAAATTAGAAGACTAGGGCCCAATTTTCAACATGTATTTTCTTTTCCCATAAGTCAATGTTATTAACCCTCGATTTTGTCGCCATCATTTTCAGGCTCGCTTTTTTCATTTCTTGGTTTTTTCTGACATAGGCTCTGCGAACGGAGGTCCACATCGGTCGTCCTCTTTCTTTTTTCTTTTCCATTTTTCCGTACCCTTGGTGCACGAGTACGTTTCGCGGCATTGGCCTTCTCCTTCCTTTCTCCACTATCCAACGGTTGCTTAACTTCGTTCAACTTTTGCGCTGGAATCTTCTGAAATACCGTAAGGAATAAATTCTTCGCACATCGTCTAAAAATAAGATGATATAATGAATATATATATATATACGTGCATATTTTTATAAGTAATATAAGTAAACATGATGACAATGTAAAGCTTACAATTTCGATATTGTTTTCCTACCAGGAGGGCACTTTGGAGTTTGCAAATGAAGCTCAGGTTTTGATATTTGTCCGGATTTATTAGTCATTTTCTGAAAATACAAAATTGATATGTCAAATATACATAGCAACAGAGCACTTCAAAACGCACACAAATCCTCTGTGAAACGCAAAAAGATGTCATAAGCTTTAACAGGCGTTGATTCAAAACATATTTTCAAAAATTTGTAATGAGTACGTGTAGCGCTTCAGTTTTTTGTTTCCTACTACAACTAAGCAATTGAGATAGGATGTAGGCATTCTATAGGCTGCATCACTTTTTTTGCGCAGATAAAATTTTTTTAGTTTCGCCGCGAGGTAAAAAGTGCGGCCATGATCCGAAGTTAGTTGCGAAGGATAGATAAACTTGCGGTAAACTTACCAAAATATATTTTATTTATTATTTTTTAAACTTTGTCGAATTTTTCGTGTTCCAATGAATCGCTTTCATCCGCGCTACTCCCACACAGTTTCAAAGCCTACTGATTTGAAAAATATATGCAGTTAACACTGAACAGATGAAAAAAATCGTCTTCAAATAAATATAGTAATAATACAAAGACAGAGATGTAAAGCTGCAAACTCTTAAAATGTTAAGCTGAAAACAGATAAATGTAAACAATTCTTGGTTAGCTGAAAATAACTAATATGTGAAAATCTGGGTTTATTCGACTAAAAATGTGTGAGAGAAACACGTAAGAGCGGATTAATATAAATATAAGTGATAGATAACGTTGTCCACGCTCTTGGAGTCTCGTGGTGGTCTCGTTTAACACGCAAAACATTAAAAAATGAAAAATGTAACAAATAACGAGACATTGATTTGAATGAATTTTGATAACGAATTGTAAAGCAATAATAAAATAAAAAAATATACAAAAACTAACCTCAAACGGGAGGCGAGCAGGCGTCAAAAATGTAGCTAACGGATTTTCAGCTACGTAGTTAATTTCTCTCTATTCTTGACTCGCTAAACATTTAAGGAGAAGAAGATAAATGTAAGGAAAGAACTCGTGTGCCATGGGAATTATAAATGGGATTTTTTTGATTATGGAGTGGGCTTAGACACAACATTTTCGCGGTTTGATTGATTATTGAGTTTATTGGAATCAAGGACTTAAAAAATGAGATTTAAAAATTATAGTGTAAAGGTGGACTTCAAACGAAAAGGAGGAAATATTCAGTAGGGATATTTTTCAAAACCTGTGATGCTTACGATGTTTTTGCAACGGCGTTTGACTAAATTCGTCTATAGACAAAGGCGAGAATGTAAGAATGTAGGTTCGTAAAAGACTACTGCAAAAAATGCAAATCATAATTTCGTGCTGTTAGACTTAAACTTTTCTTGTGTTTAATCATTTTCTTATTGGAAATTTTACTTTGAAATCCCCCTCTTCTACATATTTAACTATCAGTGATTGTATATAGAGAACTATCTTTTTCTACGGTTTAAAACTTATTTTCAACAATGCGTAACGAAATTTACGGAACACACACAATATTGGGGAAATCTTTGGAAGTTATGTATGTAACGTTTTTATTTTCATCTTATTGGTCAAAATTGGTTACAACGTTTCCAATCAGTGACCATATTAAAGTGCATGCACAACTTATAGTTTACCTCATAGAGTGAGTAAACGTCTATTTCCAATGTTTAACAATTTTTTTAAAAAATTTAACAACATGCGGAAACAATAATTTATAAATATTTATTTCACTACTTACTTCATTATTTTCAGGTCAGCTACAGATCGTGATTACAGCTAAATGAAGTAAAGTGCGCGCAAATAAACTTACTAACTAAAGTAACCAATTGAGTGTAAGCTTGTAATAGCAGGAGATCGAAAAAAAAAAACGAAAATTACGTGCTCTCCAGAAAATCAACAATAAGCTTAGGATACACGACGAGTCGATTCAAACTAGCCTAGCGTAGTCATAAAGACTTTAAAATCGGAATAAAGGATTCATAGACCTCGAATGTTACTACTACGCAGGTCTGGCAGGCACGACCGTTATACCTATCATTTTTGTTATTATTCCGTAAGAACGAAAGTCTCCCCGCTCGTTTCGGTCCTTCACACATAAAAACCCATAAACCCATATGTATAAGTATATGTACACGTAAGTTAGACTGATACGATTGTTTGTATAAGAGTAGATGCTTATGGGGTTGTGTCGACATACGTTACGCATGGACGGATCGTTAGGCTAGTGTTCGCCTGTACTGCCCAATACTGTTCCGCCACACGGAGAGCGCTGGGAAGTACAATATTGTGGTCAGGCTATAGATCGACAACGCCAGCCGAACGTTAAGAGAAGAAGAAGAGGATTTCCGTTCTGGTTGTTTTGCCGTTTGGGCTTTTCTGGGGTCTTGTCCGAACCGACGTTGAGGGAAGGTAAACGCGAGTGACGTTAGGACGAAATAGACCTTTTAAGTTTAAGTTAAACAAACCGTTTTAAGATCAATCGTAGGTTAATAAAGTAGTTATATCGGAAAACGAATGAGTGTTGGAATTTCTTCGTATTAAGGTGAGATGGCCTGGAATAGACGCTGAGGGTACCCCAGCACTATTATTCGGTTAAGAATTTCTCCCTAAGTCGATAAGGGAAAATATGCACAATGCATGTAGAGAGAATCTGCAAGATTATAAATGTCATTAAAAGTGTTACGTAAAAGTTTGATTTTCATAGTTGGGTAAGTTTCAAATACCGTTAACTCTTCGATGGACGGCTAGGATCATTAGAATTAATTTCCATAAGCACGACCGGCGAATTTATAGTGGAAGAAAGTAGAAGAGGATTTTAGTAATATGAGGAAATTTCCTCATTATCATATCGGAACTAAAGATGATGAGCGTGTAAATGTAAATATTCTCTCCTTTTTATAGTTGTAAAGGTAAGTATTGTTCTTAATAAATAAGTAGATGCTGTCAACAACATTCCCTTTTTGGTTTCCACGTGACGTCACAGCTTGCATTTGTGCAACGAATAATTAGCAACATGTTGGTTATGCCTCGACGAAAGACTCGATATAACTTAAAAACAATTGTTCAAAATTTTTATTTATTGTTAAGTCTTATAATGGGAGGTTCTTACATAATTACAACAAGTTTTTAAAGTTCATTTTTTAAGGGATAGGCGATTAATATGCAATATTTTGAAGGTGTCAATAGAGCGAATTCCTGAGATTCCATGCATATAGAAAATGATGAATGCCTTGATGAGACGTGTTGAGTACTTCGCAGTCTTTTAAAGATTTATTACGGCATCTACTGAAATGGAGAATAGCTATGGAGAAATTAAAGAATGGCTTTTCACGCTTTATCACAGGGTGCGTTACGGTTAAATCAGGATGGTGATTACATAACTGAGACTTAGGATTCCTTCACGGATCTATCTGTTTAGCAAAAACAGCTGAAAATGAAAATGAGAGTCAAATTTTTCATACATGGCAACCCCGTGAATATAACGAAGAAAAGTTAGGTTTGATTACCCATGTGGTTATAAAAATGGAGACTAGGTAATGAATTAAACCTATGAAACCCAAGGGAAGGTTGTTGCGAAATTTTCTGACGAACAAACGCTCTGACCATACTTAATGGCTGGTGCTAGGTTTCACGCATACCTATAACTAAATATTTGTTCGTATAAGTCACGAAAATTACGCTAAGCTAATATTATATTAGTAATCGTACGAGCATAAAATATTTTTAAAAATGTACAGTTCGACCACAACTATATAATGTCAGTAGAGGAATTAATTCCAGTGAGTTAATCAACAAGACGCTGGAGTTTCAGGTCAGAGCAATGGATAAAATTCGGACTTACGTTTTGAGTAAGAAGTGCGCTACGCTCGCGTGCGATGCGAGAAGTGTGTAATTTTTAAGAAAAAACATTGAAGGCATTATTCTTATATCAAGAAGTTCGTTTCTATATCTCCCTGTTTCGGGAGATCAAATTATCATTATCCAGCATCGGTGTAGTAAAACTGCTAGCAATGCGAGCTAGCTTTAAAGCGAGAAGATAAATTTTAAGCGCACAAAAGAAATTTGTTGAATGAACTGCAAGTTATAACGAAAGTCACCCGAAAAAAATGGAAGACGTCATAATTAATTCTCTCGAGTAGAGAAATAAGATTTTTT